TTTTTTTTTTTCTGTTGATAGCATGTGTGAGGGAGAGAAGAGGAAGCTTGTTATCCCATCAGATCTTGGTAAGTTTTTACTGACAGTAATTTCCCTCTAACAATATATTACAGGGTTCATACAGGTCATCATAAAAAACCTGGAAAGTCATGGGATTTAAGCATTTGATTTTCCAGGCCTGGAAAGTGAGGGAATTTAATTGTTGGTCCTGGAAGGTCATGGAAATTTTAAGTTTTGTTTGATAGATAAGTTACTGCATATGACAAGGCAAGGACAATGTAAGATAAAGAGGAGTAATTAACCAGTGCAAGAGGCCCACATTTTGGTGGACACCAGAGTTTGTGTCTGTTGAACTGTTTAGGGTCCAAAAATTCCCTAAAACAAGGAACGTTTTTAAAATGAAAGTTCGAAAGTGACAGCTAAACCTAAGGTCTTGGAAAACTTAAAAAGGTCATGGAAAAAGTCATGGAATTTGAAGAGCTCAAAAGAGTGACCCTGTGTTACTCACTACGATCATAACTATAACAAACTTCTCAAATCTGATTGGCTATCAACTGTCCTGATTTGATTAATGAGCATGCGCTGAACTGTGAACCTGTCCCTTTAACTGTGTTGTACATTTACATGACTGTATCCTTTTTTTTTTGGCAAATCTTTGTTTACACTTTTTGCCTCATTAACATATGCTTATCACTATCTGATGATGCTAATAAAATAAAGACTCTGAACATTGAAAGGGCACAACAGTGTCAGTTATCTGTGAAAATTTGTGCCCAATACACCGAATGGTTTCGGAGAAATTCTCTTCTAAACACTCGAAATTTTACAGAGAATGTATGGTTTGCTAACTTTTTTTGCCGCCCAGCAATTTCACAGTTTTTGATGGCTGATATTTCCTTCAATATTGTTTGCAAGGAGCTGCAAATTGTGCAAATTGCTCAACTTAATCAGCTCTTTCAACTTTTGCATTTACTTCATATGTACGGCCACAGCTTCTATGAGTTAAGTCGTATGCTAATGAGGAAAAATGTGAACAATGACGTTAGCAACGATTTGCCTATATGACGACCTATTTCCAACTTCATTGTCATTTTTCAGTTTCATTCCATTGAAATATGTGTATAATGACCTATTTCCAATTTTACTGTCATCTTCTAGGTTATGGTGATAGAGGAGCTCCTCCTAAGATTCCTGGTAAGTTTTTTGCTTTGAATTTTTTAAGATGAATAAAATTAATATATTTAGTTTTTTGCACTTTGAAACAGGACTGATTAGAGTCCAGTATAATTTTTCTGTAATTGATAGTGACTAAACAAAGCCAGGTTAGTCGGATTTGCTCAAACCAGAAGACCCGAAATGCTTGTGAATCAAATGGAGATGTTTTCATTAGATCAAGACTTGAGGGCCTTGGTCCATGCATCTCAATAATATATATATATATATCTCTTTTTTCCTTTACAGGTGGAGCTACCCTGATTTTTGAGGTTGAATTACTAAAAATAGAGAGAAAATCTGAATTGTAATTTCCAGTGATCAGTTCTAATGTAAAATAAATACCTCTTTTTGCAGGCTATATTTTTCTCATGACTGTCACAACTTATTCATGCAAATTGTGCAAATTGCTCAACTTAATCAGCTGTTTCAACTTTTGCATTTACTTCATATGTACGGCCACAGCTTCTGAGTTAAGTCGTATGCTAATGAGGAAAAATGTGAACAATGACGTTAGCAACGATTCGCCTATATGACGACCTATTTCCAACTTCATTGTCATTTTTCAGTTTCATTCCATTGAGATATGTGTATAATGACCTATTTCCAATTTTACTGTCATCTTCTAGGTTATGGTGATAGAGGAGCTCCTCCTAAAATTCCTGGTAAGTTTTTTGCTTTGGATTTTTTCAGATGAATAAAATTAATATTAGTTTTCGCACTTTGAAACAGGACTGATTAGAGTCCAGTATAATTTTTCTGCAATTGATAGTGACTCAACAAAGCCAGGTTAGTCGGATTTGCTCAAACCAGAAGACCCAGAAATGCTTGTGAATCAAATGGAGAAGTTTTCATTAGATCAAGACTTGAGGGCCTTGGTCCGTGCATCTCAATAATATATATATATCTCTCTCTTTTTTTCTTTACAGGTGGAGCTACCCTGATTTTTGAAGTTGAATTACTAAAAATAGAGAGAAAATCTGAATTGTAATTTCCAGTGATCAGTTCTAATGTAAAATAAATACCTCTTTTCACAGGCTATATTTTTCTCATGACTGTCACAACTTATTCCTGTTTTAAATGCTTTTTCATCTAAGACTTAATTATGTAAGAGGCAAATTAATGTTTTTTATACATTTGAGTTAAGTAGATTAGTCACTCACATTGACTGCTTCAATAGAAATAGTGATTAGCCTTATAAATTTATTTGGGAGAATCTTTTTTTTACATGTGTGAAAAGAGCAACTCTTCAATCCCTTTATGCTAGCAAATTTTTATGCTAGTTTGTCTCTTCAGTTGATGAAGCCAATTTGACCCTTTATCATCGAGTGATGTAATAGGCCACCAGTAGTCTCATGGAAAATACGTTGTCTCTTTTGTAACTGAACTTTTGTCATGAAATTTTGATTAAAAGCTAGTAACACCTTTATTTTGTATTGTTATGCATTTAGTTGGAATATCTTATTTACTGTGTCAAGGATTTAGCGCAATAATTACCCCTAACATGGTTGCCATAGAAATTGGTTTTCAAAATTCCTTAATTAAAATAAAATGTTCCCGACCAAATCAAATGAATACAAAATGTTTGAATGATACGGTAGCAGCCCCAGACTTCTCTTTAATTTTATTAAAAGAAATTCCTTCCTTTAGTCCATCCTTTTAGGTGAACACAAGCATATTTACTGGCCTTGCTTAGACTCCACTCTACAATGATTAGCCAGGGCTTTCGAATGTCATCTGTCTGGTGCTAAATTCAATGCTTAACCCCTTTTTACTCTCCGAACCAAGAGGAGAAAGTAAAAAATTATCAGTGACCACTGGGTGTGGGATTAGAGAATTTGCATTTCAAACATGGTGATGCCCATGAAATGGTCATTGACTCGGTGTCAACTCAAACTTCTTCACAAAGTTCTGATATCAAAATTCAGTTATTTAAATAAGTAACTCAGAAATTAAGTTCGAGCTGAAGAGAGCATGCTTGTGGTATGAGATCAGATACCCTAAAAATTGATTTAATCATTTATTTAAATTTATGGCATTCACATTCTCAAGAAAATCATAAAATGTCATAGTTATACAGGAATAGCAAAGGAATTCACAGAAAAGTGTGATGTACACTCACAGAGTTCTTGCTTTAGCCTGTATACAAACTCTCTGCCAGGGGACTCTAGACAAGTCTGGGGGCAGGGGAGAGAAAGGGGAGAGAGCTTCTTTCTTTTTTCTCCTCTGTCACCTGAGCTCCTGGGAGAGCTTGCTTGAAGTTATTATTGTTTTTGCTCACTAAACCTATCTTACGCTTACGATAGTTTGAAATTCCTGTCACCTTCAACTTGTAGTTTCTTAAGGTCTTGTTGATCTCAAAGCCTGATACACAAGTTGAGATGCTCTTTCGAGACAGATATGCTTATCAGCATTCTGCAGACCCTCAGCAAAAACAAGTGCATATTAAAATAATTTAAAAAGGAAATTCAAAACTACATATCTAATTACAAAAGAAAGAAAATACTTATTGGAAGTTGCCTTTGATCAAATTATTACTTTAAAAGTTTCCATATAATAAACTGCCGGTACATGAAAATAAACAGAATTCTCCTAGCATTGATCAATGTGATCACTCCTGCTGCACAAAAATAAAAAATATTGTGCCAAGATTTTTGGGTGTTCAAAATTAAACAAACACCAGATAATAAGAGTTCAACCACAAGGATTAATATCATCTGTTCTTCATTCATCTATCCTCTGAAAAGATCTTCCTACTTTCTTTGGCCCTGGACTAACCATCTTCTTTCTTGCTTCTTGACGCCCACTTTCTTTGTGATCAAAAACACAATTATGTTGCTCTGGCAATCGATGCAATTGACAGAAGACAAAATCTAAAAGAAAGAATGAGGTAAAATGGACTTAAAAGTGATTCCCTGGTTTTGCACTGCGCATCTCTTACTGCGCATAACAAGATGGCCTCCGTAAAAAAGAGCATGTGAAGTAACATTATTAAAATGAAGTTGACCAAAGAGAAATGCCATTGCAATTTTTGCTTGCGGTTGCTTCTTCCCGAGGTGAGGCTCAATGTGGTGGGAATGTGCATAATGTAAGCAGTACGCGTGTTGCTGAGTTCGACTTCCTCATGGAGAACCTCGATAGTGGATGTTTAATTTGTGCTTATTCACTTTGATTTTCATTTAAACGCTTTCTTTATCACATTGTGTCCTAAATGTGATATCTCGATATAAATTCTGTAAAAACGGATTTTTTAACACTTTCTTTCCCCTTTCGCATACATTCTATTTTGAAACTCGCCCCAGTCCTCTCTCAAAAATCAAGGAAAATGCGTTTGGTGCGCACTTTCTGCAGCTCTACCGCAAAAACGAGTAAAGTGACCCCCTTTTTTTATTTCATGATTTTAATAAGGACAGTGCTTCCTTTCAGTGAGAAAAAAATTGGCACCAATCTATGTTCAGTTTTTTGGCAATTTTACTAAATTGTACGGATTGAGCTATCACGTGTCGAATAGCGCGTGTCCAATTTAAATCTACTTTGGATCGTAAAGTAAAAACAAGGGCATTAAAAGGCATTTTTCTGATACATAAGTGGATAAACAATACATTAAAGTCAAATTCTGTGCGATACCACATGCATCATTGAAAAAATCTTTCCTTTCTGTCTAGTTTTGGGCTGCGCACGGTTTTTGTCAAAGAGTCCAAAATAGCTGTATTTGTCAGCATTGTGACGTCAAAACGAGCACAGTGACCCCCACTTTTTATTACCTTTTTATCATCTTCTTGACTTGT